GGGTTCAATCCCTTTAGTATGAGTCTCCATTCTGATGACAGATAACATTTTATGCCAGGACATATATGACTTCAGAAATTTCACATAATTTCTGGAACACTTGGAATACATACCTATACAGACACAACATAAAGGAGACTTAACATGACTTCTTATGTGACAACAGTTTCCATATAATTTAACATATTAAATACACCTAATTAGTTTAATATCTTTTTATAAGGCGAGAGAATAAATCTTTGAGGGTATTTCAGAGGGCCCCTGAAATATCTCACGTCTCAATGTTAGTTCTAAGTCAAAAAGTTTTCATTTAGAATTTGATTTGGGAGAAGTTTGTCAAAAATATCAAAAAATATTTGACTTAAGTAGGTTGCCATGAAGCAATGCTTCGTTATCCATTTAACCAAAGTAATAATTAAAGACTTCTTAGGCAAATATAGAAGGTTATATAGTTCTGAGCAAAATTCAGGTCTTTTAATAGCAATAGGACTGGGCTTACTTACTGAATCAAAGACCTGATAAAGATATAGAACATAAGTAATTACTTTGACAAGACAGAAGATCTTTGTTTTTTTCTAGGCACATTACTTAAAGGTAAAGAAAAACCTTTCATAATCTCTTATTATCAAGAGCAGACCAATAGAAAACAAAAACAAACAACCAAAAAAACTTTGTTCTTTTAACAGAGAGAAAAACAAATTCCAATTTTGTACCAGTTTACTTTGATATTAAAACTTATTTACATAATTAAATTCATTCTAATCTTGTTCCGTCATGACCACACATAAAATTCCTTTCCAAAGAATCCTTTATTCACAAACTTAAAGTTGTCCATTTTAGTTTGTCCCTTGTTTTCTTTCCCATTTAAAACTAACCAGCTTTAGGACAAAATCACTTTCTTTTTCCTTAATAAAAATGTCTCCATACCTTTTCTTATCCCTTATTATATCTGCAGCTTTAACCACATATATTAATTGGAATCCTAATCCTTTGAAATTTTAATTTTTTATTGAAAACAAAGAAGTAAACAATTGTAAACTTTATTAACATTTTGTGGTGTGACAAACATAAATACATTTTATAATTTCTAGAAACATGCTATTTCATAGTACAATCTTTCAATAAAGCACAAGATATATTTACTAGAGCCAAACATACTTAGTTTCTCTTTATCAAGAGGCAACAAGTAGGTATAAACTTAGACTTGTTTAGAAACTAATGTTTCAATACTTTATCGTATTTGGAAATGATTTAGACATCCAGTTAATTCCCATCGTTTAAGTTAACGTAGCAAAACTCTAAGGGTATAAATTACCAAACAGATTTAGGAAACTATTTAAATGGACATATCATAAAACATTTATTGTCTAAAAGTTCACCTAAAAACTCATCACATTTATATCTGTTCAATTTATTTTTAACAATCAGATTACTCATGAAAATTTCATGAGACATTAAAGCAGTTAGTCATTATCTTGTTTGTTTGTTTGCTGACAAACTGCAAAAGAGACAACATTAGCCCGTTTGACTAGTACACCCAGGTAGAACAAAGGTTGTTTATCTACATTACATTTAATGCTAACTCTGAAGATATACCTGTATTAATTTAACCAACAAGTAGCTTTTATTTCCTAAAGATTATCTGAGGATATACCTTCAGGTAACTCTGAAGATATATCTGTATTAATTTAACCAACAAGTAGCTTTTATTTACTAAAGATTATGAGAAACGTTTGGGTTATTTTTTATTACATATTTGAGACTTTTTATATAAAAAAAGTCTTTATTTAAGCCAATTAAATAGAGCTCTTTTACAGATTAATTTTGGCAGTGCCATCCAGAGGTAACATACACATATGGACATATAGATAAACTCAACCAGAGATCTCATACTTCTTATTTTAAAACTTTAGTCATGAATCAGGTACAATAGAAAACTCACTAGTTTATCAGTAACAGTTGGAATGAATTAGGTTATTTGCTCAGCTAGCTAGTCTTTTATTATTTGTGTAGAAGACTTTTAAGATCTGTATTTGCCCTTGACAAGCAATTCTAGGGAGGCTGTGACTTATTAGAGTTTGAGCAAGAAAGTCCTTTTAACAGTGAGTGTTTGAAAAAGCCTCTCTCTCTTTTTTCTTTTAATTTCAGGTTTTACTGATTGAATTAGTCCAGGCTCAGGGTCAGGCTCTGTGGGCTGTGTTTACATTCAAATACATGACATAACTTGAAGGGACAGAGAAAGAAAATATGTTTTGGAGTATACTTGTCTGTTATCATAGGTCTTAGGGTAATTATTATTAAATGTTTTTCTTAAGTACAGGACAAGTTTGCGCCAATATCCTGATCTACTATAATATCTGCAAGCATTTTGAGAGGACTAGGTGAGACCTTGGGACGAGTAAAGTTCGATGGGCTTTGACTTGTTTCTAGAGTTGTACTTCTGGTTTTGTAGAGCTTCATAAGACAAGCTTTGTAAGACAAAGACAGTTGTTTCTATAAACTCTTAAATATTGGCCTCCAGCCCATTTATTTTCTGATTATTTGTAGGAGAGGCTGGGAAATTGCTGAGAAGATGGGGTGATTTTTAAGAAGGAGAATTTATGTTGAATTTTTGTTTTAAGCCTAATTTCTGTGTTTTTTTATCTTAATAAGGGATTCTCTAAGACTAGTCATTATACCTTTTTTTTTCTTTTTATAGAGAATTTGGTCCTCCCATAAGTACCAGTATGACAGCTGTTTATTATGAGAGCTCTCAATTGTTTTTTTCCTTTTAAATATAGTCAATTTAAAGGATCTATCATCTGGCCATTGACAAGTAGGATCTTATATTTTCACATAGTGACTGAAGCCAATAAGTGTTTTATTATGGCTTAACCAAAGATGCAAGAGGCATCTCACAAGAAGAGTATATAGCCCTCACAAGATCCAAAAAGCCCACTCCCAGAATTAGTCTAAGAAGGTAGAACTCCTTTGTTGCTACAGGTGGTGAGAATGGTGTAGGGAAAATGGTGTCTCCAGTGTTCCACAAAAATCTGGGGCGCCTCCAGCCATAAAACCGATAATTTATGGTATCCGGCAGGCACTACTGGAATGGGACTTTTCCAGCACTAACAACTAATGAAGGTTGTGATGACAGAGGCCCGTTATGGACTGGGACGCCTAATGACAAAGTCCCCTGAGAGCTGGTATGGCCGGACAAAGAGCTTGGCCACCAGATGCACCCCAGTAAATGCACCTTCTGGATGGTAGAGACCAGAGACAGTATTCTCACTGGAGACAAAGCCAAGCTCTGAGGACATAAAACAAGATGGAAGGAAAAAACCTCGTCTTTTTTTTTTTTTAATAAAGAGCCCAGAGCAGGACTTCCCTGGTGGCGCAGTGGTTAAGAATCCGCCTACCAATGTAGGGGACAAGGGTTTGATTCCTGGTCCAGGAAGATCCCACATGCCACGGAGCAACTAAGCCCGTGCACCACAACTACTGAAGCCTGTGCGCCTAGAGCCCATGCCAAGAGAAGCCACCACACACAGCAACAAAGACCCAACGCGGCAAAAAATAAGAACCCAGAGCAAAGTTTGTCTAAACAGATGCCGGTCTGGTGAGAACTGCTAATTCACCAGTGTGTGAGGCTGGCTTGAACAGCAGGCTTATAGGGCCTATGCCTGTGTTCTGCCCTCTGGCTCTTCCTCGTGACAAACAACACGACAGACAGAGACAGAGAAAAACAGTGACCATCTCTGGGAGGTGAAGGATGAGGATTCCCAAGTCACTAATACAAGGAACTAACCAGCTCCACAAATATTTTCTCCTGCTAATCTAAATTTAGAGACAGAGAAAGGGGAGTCTCACCACTTTCCCTCCCACCAGAACTTGCAGGCAGAGAGCCGGGAGGCCGACTGGGTAAGAAATCTCATTACCTTCTGCAGTCTTTGTCAGATGCCCCCGGCTCTACAGCATCCTCAGGGCGGGAAGCAGGCTCCAGCCAGCCACCTGCCTGGCTCACCAACTGTCAGGAAGAGGGGAATTTCCCCCTCTACCCCTCTTTTGAGATTTTGTGGCTGGACTAATAATCAGATTGACACAAGACAGATTAATAGGTGAAAAGGAAACAAATTTTAATTCCTGCTCATGGACGTCTCATAGAAATGGGACCTAAGAAATGGCCAAAGCAGGCAGCTTTTATACTTTTTGGACAAAAAAAACAATAAATTTGTGAGGAATTGACTAGACAGAGAAACTTGGGTTTTGGGTACCCAATTAGTGAAAAATCTAAACAGAGTTTGGGCTTCAGGTAGTAAATTAAAGAAGTAACAAAGTTTGTTTATATAGGCTTCTTGTCCCCAAAATCCCTATCTTTGGTGATAAGGGTGTCTTTCTACCTCCAGATTGAGGTAGAAAGACACCCTTTTACACGAGACATTCATTTACTTTTACATGAGAGATTCATTTCTTGCTTTCAGGGAGACAGAAAGGAGTGTCCCCCTTGTGCTGGCCGTTTCTTAAGTAAATTTAATTCAAAATAATCAATATGACATTGAGGCACATTTTGGGGTGGCCTACCCTGAGCCCCAGCAATACCATGTAAAGAGTGACAGCGCATGGAGATGGCTATGATGTGGGCTGGGATGGGGAGGGGGTACAGCAACAATGGGGTTGCAGTGGTGAGGTCCAGGGTTTGAGGAAATGTACAGTCCAAAGAGTGATATGCATGTGGGGAGGGCATGTGAGCTGTTGCCCCCAGGGCCCTGGTACTGGGGACTATGGGCCCATGTTTGTTTGTATCTGTAAGGCATGACATCGGCGACACTAGGGGCCCTGCACTTCAGGCCCAGAGCATTGCTGGCATTGCTGTGGGCTGAAAAAGCAGTCATAGAAGGCATGGAACCAGGGCCTGGGATCTCCTCTGAGTTGGGAAGCTGGGGAGGAGGGTGAACAGGGGATAGACAGGGAGTCCTGAGGAGAGAAGCTGATCATGGAATGAACTGTCCCCATCATGGCAGGACTGTGTGACCTTTGAGGACGTGACCATTTACTTCTCCCAGGAGGAGTGGGGACTCCTTGATGAGGCTCAGAGACTCCTGTACTGCGATGTGATGCTGGAGAACTTTGCACTGATAGCCTCACTGGGTAAGGCTTTCACACCCACCCAGGTGTCCTCAGCTCATCTCTGCCCATCCTCTTTTCCCAAGAAGAGGCTTTTTCCGTCCCACAGCCGGACCGTGGGCACTGCTTCCTTCCCCCCCACCTTTAAAAAAAAAATTTATTTATTTTATTTATTTATTTTTGGCTGCGTTGGGTCTTCGTTGCTGTGTGCGGGCTTTCTCTAGTGGCAGAGAGTGGAGGTTACTCTTCATTGAGGTGTGCAGGCTTCTCCTTGCAGTAGCTTCTCTTGTTGAGGAGCACGGGCTCTAGGCACGCAGGCTTCCATAGTTGTGGCACGTGGGCTCAGTCGTTGTGGCTCACAGGCTCTAGAGCACAGGCTCAGTTGTTGTGGCGCACTGGCTTAGTTGCTCCGTGGCATGTGGGATCTTCCTGGACCAGGGCTCAAACCCATGTCCCCTGCATTGGCAGGCGGATTCTTAACCACTGCACCACCAGGGAAGTCCCCCTTTCCCCCCTTTCTGGTATATGTGCGGTGGGTTCCAGAGCTCAGCTGTGTGCAGGGTCCCACGCTTTCCCCAAGCAGCCCCAATACGTGCTGCCCTGAAGCCTTGTGGGGAAGGGTCCCAGAAGGAAGACCAGTGGATCCCATCTGACTCAGCCACTGCCCGCCTGGGTGATCGTCCAGATCTATGACAGTTCTGTTCTGCTCTTTTCCTTTAAAACTAACATTTCCTAAGGCCTGACTGCCAGGAATTCTAGGTACTGGTGGTTACTATTTGCTATGACCACTGAGATGTTCCTGCTAGACCTCCCTTGTGTGTTCCTTTTGTAATATTTTGTTTTCTTTCCTGTGGTCTGTTGTGGGGTAGTTCACCAGGACAAGTGCTGGCCCCTTACCTGTCCTGTCTTTCCCTTAGGACTTACATCTTTCAGGTCTCATGTAGTTGCCCAGCTGGAGATGGGGGCAGAGCCCTGGGTGCCTGACCGAGTGGACATGACGTCAGCCATGGCAAGAGGGGCATATAGAGGGCCTGGCTCAGGTAAGTGAGAGGTGGGGGACCATGTGACATCACTACTGTCTTCAGATCATACCTCCCACTTTTCTCGTGTTCATCGTTGTTTTGGTGCCAAAGCCTTATATCTCTTCTACCTTTCCTTTCTTGTTCTTGACACATTGCCTACTTGTCATTTCTGCTTTGACTTGGGGCCCCTGGCTGTGTCCCTCACTGTTTCCACAGCTCCCTCTGCAGCACTCTCCAATGTGGACCTGCACTTAATATGTCATGCGATGTACACATTTCCTCTTATAGTCCTTGAACACCAGCTAGCCAGTTGCAATCAGATTTTCCCAGGCCTGAACACATCCTTCTGCACAGTCCTCATGGGTTACCAGCAGCCAGGGCTCCCCTGAAAAGCCTTTGTAGAGAAGTGAGGAGGAGACTTGCCTTTCCACCTGATACTGTGCACATCTTTGTGTCCTTGCTTCTGGTAAGGCCTCCCCTATTTCGTGACCTTACCAGGCACAGCACATTAGAGAAGACCATTCCTTATCCTGACCTCAGGCCTTTCATCTTGCCAATAATCCCATGGACTCATTCCTGTATCAGACTTGCATTTGTGATTGGGTTGTCACCAGCATTTTTCTACTTTCAGATTTTTGCCATGGAACAGAGGGTGAGGAGTCACCTGCTGAGCTTAGTGTTTCTGTAGAAGTGTCACAGGACATGAATCCCAAGGTGGTTCCATCCACCCAGAAAGGCTACCCCTGTGACCTGTGTGGCCTACACCTGAAAGACATTGTGCACCCAGCTGAACACCAGGCAACACATCCCTGGCAGAAACCACATGTGTGTGAGGCATACAGGAGAGAGTTCAAGTTCAATGCCAACCTTCACCAACCACAGATGCAGCAGAACGTGGACAAGCCTATCGCAAGGAACGAAAGCAGCGCCTCGCTTGTGAAGAGCTGCAGAGATGACACATCAAAGAAACCTTTCACACTGAGGGAGAGTGGGAAGGCCTTTGTGTCCAGATGTGGTTTTCTCCAGCACCAGGTCACTCCCCGTGTAGTGGAGCCACACCACAGCTCCGAAGGCGTGGTGGATTTTCCCACTATGCAATGCCATAAGAAGCGCAGTGAATTTCAGAACACTCTCAGTGACAAATCCTCACTTGTTCAGCAGAGGACCCACACTGGAGAAAGGCCTTATGAGTGCAGCAAATGTGGGATATTCTTCAGCTACGCCGCTGGCCTCTTTCAACACCAGAGAGATCACAATCGAGGAAAGCCTTATGAGTGTGGTGAATGTGGGACATTCTTTAGCCAGCAGTCCAGTCTCATCAAACATCAGAGAGTTCACACTGGTGAAAGCCCTCATGTGTGCAGCGAATGCGGGAAATTCTTTAGCCGAAGCTCCAATCTTATTCAACATAAGAGGGTACACACTGGAGAAAAGCCTTATGAGTGCAGTGAATGTGGGAAATTCTTTAGCCAACGTTCCAATCTCATTCATCATAAGAGGGTTCATACAGGTAAAAGTGCTCATGAGTGCAGCGAGTGTGGGAAATCCTTCAACTGCAACTCCAGCCTTATTAAACATTGGAGAGTTCACACTGGAGAAAAACCTTATAAGTGCAATGAATGTGGGAAATTCTTTAGCCACTTTGATGGACTTGTTCAACATCAGATAGTTCACACTGGTGAACGACCCTATGGGTGCAGCGTTTGTGGGAAAGCCTTCAGCCGAAGCTCCGACCTCATGAAACATCAGCGAGTTCACACTGGTGAACGGCCTTATGAGTGCAGTGAATGTGGGAAACTGTTTAGCCAAAGCTCCAGCCTCAATAGCCATCGGAGACTTCACACTGGTGAACGGCCTTATCAGTGCCCTGAATGCGGGAAATTCTTTAGCCAACGCTCCAGCTTCAATAACCATCGGAGACTTCACACTGGTGAGCGGCCTTATGAGTGCCTTGAATGTGGGAAAACCTTCAGACAAAGTTCTAATCTGAGGCAGCACCAGAAAGTTCACAAACCAGATAAGCCATATAAGTGCAATGAATGTGAAAAGGCTTTTAGCCAAAGGTCTACCCTCATCCGGCATCAGAAAATTCACACCAGAAAAAGGAGTTCAGAGAATGTGCACCCTCCTTCTTCTGCACGACAGCACCCACTAGAGATTAACTCTGAGAGTGGTCTTTATGAGGGAGCTGTCAGCCAGAAGTTGAACCTTGTTCATCCAAATATCTATGCTGGAGAGATTCCCAATGGATGCTAGATATATTGGAAGCTTTCTGGAGCAGGGTTGCATTTTCTGACCACAAACTTTGCCAGAGTTTTTCTCACTGCTAATGTCTGTGGTAGAAGTCGTCTCAGTTCTACCCACTGGCAGGTCTCCAGAGTGTGCATCAGCCACTTTCCTGTGCTCACAAAAGACAGGCCTCTGTTTCCTCTTTCCAGGAGGGAATCATGAGTAGCCTGAGGCCATGGGAAGATGTCATTCCCTCCCCCTGTGACTGGTTTAGCTGTGGACATGACCCATCTTTGGCCATGAAGACCTGAGCTGGGTTCTACTGGCAGCTTGCAGAGGTTTCCCTTTTTCAAGGACATTTGTTTATCTTGTATGATGCTCATGATGGATTCATCCAGCTTCCACCTTACCCATCTTAACAACTATTTACTTTACATTGCTCTGGTTTGGGTGATAAGAGCCTTATTGATAAAGCCACCTTTAATCTTCCGTGTTCTGATAACTGTGGATTGGGTTGAGAACAGAATTAAGGTCTACCAAACCAAAGGGGTCTCCAAATTTATTGCCTCAGGGAAGAGCAGGATGGCAGAGCGCAGTTTTCAGTCCAGATTTGGCCTCGTTTGTGTTGCTACCCAAGGCATCCTAGGGAAGCTTGTAGGGCTTTGTGGGCCTAATGTTGTGGTCTGAATGGCATGAATTTTTGTGAATCAGCGATTACTCTGAGGAAGGGGAGGTTGTGCAACCTCCAGTGCATCTGGAAGCAGCCTGAGTTGGGCCCCTTGTTTACTGGGGATGCCTCCTATTCCTTAGCACTGTTGAGTAGACACTGTTTACCTGGCCCCTGCCAAAGAGTTATATGCCCTTGATGTCTAATGTTCCAGTATATGTCACCTACTGTAAGACTTACTGGGTCCAGTTGGCAAACAAGAGGGAATGTACCTGTTCTAAAAGTGCATCCACAAATGTTCCCTTAAATGTGACTGCAGGATTCAGGATTTGCAGAAGTTCTCAGGACCTCCAGACCTCTGTCCTTATGACTAAGGTCACCGGCAGAGCAAATTATCTAAAGGTTTTGTGGAATACTGCAGGCTCTCTGCATTATTCATGTCAAAGCCATTGCTGGGTTGGCAGGAAAATGGGGACTAAGAGAAGGTAGATCCTGTACGCCAGGGATGAGGCATTTGTGACATAGCCAGCCATCTCTGCTGCCAACACATGAGGAGAGAGGTAGTAGAATCAATATGGGGTTGCCAAATCTTCTAGTTTTCCAAAATGAGTAGGAGATCAGATTTTTATGTGCAACAATTTCTTTTAATGCTTTGTTGAGATATAATTTTCATGGAATAATTGGCTGTATGTATTTAATGCGTACACTTTGATAAGTTTTAAAATATGTATACACTCAGGGAACCAACACCACAATTATGATAATGAACTTATCTATCACCCACAAAGCTACCTCATGCCCCTTTACTATCCCTCCTTGCCTTCCCCAGGGAACCATTACCTACATCCCAAGGAAACCATTGATTTACCTTTTTTTTCCACTATAGATCTGTTTGCCTTTCCTAGAATTTTATACAATTGGAATCATAAAGTATTTGTACTCTATTTTTGGTCTGTTTTCTTTCATATAGCATAATCATCTTGAGAATCATCCATTCTGTGTGTATGAGTAGTTCATTCCTTTTACTGCTGAGTAGTGCTCTGTTGAATGAATACCACAGTTTTTATGCTTTTTTTTTAATTAAAAAATATAAAATACACAACATAAAATTTACTGTCTTAACCATTGTTAGGTGCACGGTTCAGCGGTATTAAGTACAGTCATATTGTGCAACTATCACCATTATTCATCTCCAGAGTTCTTTACATTTTGCAAAACTGAAACTATACCCATTAAACAATAACTCCTTATTTCCCCCTTCCCCAAGCCCCTGAAAACCAATATTCTACTCTCTGTAATGGAATTTGACTACTCTAGTTATCGCATATAAATGGAGCTATATATTGTCTTTTTGTGACTGGCTTATTTCACTTAGCATAATGTCCTTAAGTTTCATCCATGTTATAACATGTGTCAGAATTACATTACTTTTTAAGCTGAATAATATGCCATTGTATGTATATGTCATATTTTGCTTATTCATTCATCCCTCAATGGATACTTGATTTATTTCCACCTTTTGGTTATTGTAACTAATGCTGCTGTGAACTTGGGTGTACGAATCTCTTTGAAACCCTGCTTTCTATTCTTTTGGGTATATACCCGAAAGTGGAATTACTGGATCATATAGTAATTATATTTTATTTTTTGAGGAAAAAAAATTGTGTTGTGTTTCCCACAGTGGCTATACCATTTTACATTTTCAGCAAGTGTTCTACTTTTTCCACATCATCACTAACACTTGTTTTTTCTGTTTTTTGTTTGTTTGTTTTGGATAGTATCTATCTTGATGACTATGAAGTGGTATCTTGTTTTGATTTGTATTTCTGTAATGATTCATGATGATAACTATTGTTTCATGTGCTTACTAGTCATTTGTATATCTTCTTTAGGAAAATGTCTATTCAGGTCCTTTCTCCATTTTTGAATTGAATTGTTTGTGTTTTGATGTTGCTGAGTTTTAGAAATTCTATATACTGGATATTAATCTCTTATTAGGTTTGTGATTTGCAGATAATTTCTCCCATTCTGTGGGTTGCCTTTTTACTATGTTGATAGTGTGTCCTTTGATACACAAAAGTTTGAAATTTTCATGAGGTCCAAGTTGTCTTTTTTCTTTTGTTGCCTGTGCCTTTGGTATCATATCCAGAAAATCATTGCCAAATCCAATGTTATGAAATTTTCCAATGTTTTCTTCTAAGAGTTTTATAGTTTTGGGTCTTACATTCAGGTCTTTGATCTATTTTGAGTTAATTTTTGTGAAAGGTAAGGGTCCAGCTTCGTTCTTTTGCAGGTGGATATTCAGTTTTCCCATTGATTGATTTTGTCAAAAATTATTTGACCGTATATGGGAGGGTTTATTTCTGGACTCTATTCTATTCCATTTATCTATACTTTTTTCTTTATGTCAATACCTCACTATTTACATTAATGTGGCTTTGTAGTAAGTTTTGAAATTGGAAAATGTGAGTCCTGCAATATTGATCTTCTTTATCAAGATTGTTTTAGCTATTCAGGGTCCCTTGAGAATCCATATGAATTTTAGCATAGATTTTTGTTTCTGCAGAAAAAAAATTACTTGGATTTTGGTAGGGATTGCATGAAATTTTTAGATTGCTTTGGGTAGAATCGACATCTTAACAACATTCAGTCATCTAATCCATGAATGTGGGATATGTTTCCATTTATTTGTCTTCTTTAATTTTTTTCAGTAATGTTTTATGGTTTTAAAATAAAGTTTTTACCTCCTTGGTTAAGTTACTTCTTAAGTGTTTTACTCTTATTGATGCTGTTGTAAAAGGAATCGTTTTCATAATTTTCTACTCAGATTGTTCATTGTTCGTGTATAGAAATGCAACTGATTTTTCTGTGTTGGTTTTGTATCCTACTTTGTTGAATTAATTTATTAGTTCTAATAGTAACTTTGTGGAGTCTTGAGGGTTTTTTAGATTTAAGATTATTTCATCTGTGAACAAAGGTAATTTTACTTATTCTTCTCCAATTTGGATGCCTTTTATTTCTTTTTCTTGCCTAATTGCTCTGGCTAGAACTTCCAGTACTATGTGGAATAGAAATGGTGAGAGTGGGCATTCTTTCCTTACTCCTGATTGAAAAGCTGTTAGTTCTTCACCATTGAATATGATATTAGCTGTGGGTTTTTTATACATGGCTTTTATTATGTTGAGGTAGTTTCCTTCTATTCCTAATTTGTTGAGTGTTTTTATTGTGAAAGAGTGTTGAATTTTGTCAAATGCTTTTTCTGCAGCAATTGAGACGATCAAGTTGTTTTCTCCCTTTATCCTGTTAATGTGGTGTTAGATGATTTTCATATGTTGAATGATCCTTGCATTCCAGGAATAAATCCCACTTGAACATGGTGTTTAGTCCTTTTAGTATGCTGCTGAATTCTGTCTGCTAGTATTTTGCTAAGGATATTTGCATCAGTATTCATAAGGGATATAGGTCTATACTTTCCTTGTAGTATCTTTTTCTGGCATTGATATCAAGGGAAATGAATTAATGTGTTATCCTTTAAGTTTTTGGAAAATTTTTGACAAGGATTAATGTTAATTCTTCCTTAAATGTTTGGTAAAATTCACCAATAAAGCTTTCAGGTCCATAGCTTTGTTGTTGGGAGGTTTTTGATCACTCATTCAAATGAATGAATTCATTGAATCCTCTCATTCATTTTGCTTAGTAGTTACAGTTTTATTCAGATATTCTCTTTCTTCATGGCTCTGTCCTGATAGATTTTGTGTTTCCAGGAATTTGTCTATTTCATCTAAGTTATCCACTTTTTTTCATACACTTGTTCATAGTACTTTTGTAATCCTTTTTATTTCTGTAGAATCAGTTGTAATGTTTGTACTTCTATTTTTGTTTTTAGTAATTTATGCCTTTAGTCATTCTAGCTAAAGGTTTGTCAATTTTGTTAATCTTTTTTGAAGAACCATCTTCTGGACTCGTTGACTTTTCTCTATTGTTTTTCTAGGTGTGCTGTGCGTTTTGTTTTCTTTCATCTCTGATTATTTTCTAACATTCTCTGTGATTCCTTCTTTGTTCCATTGATTGTTTAAGGGTATGTTGTTTAATTTCCACAAATTTGTGAATTTTTCAGTTTACCTCTTATCAATTTCTATCTTCATCTGGTTGAGGTTGGAGAAGATACTTTGTGTAATATCTATCTTTTAAAATCAATTAAGCCTTAATTTGTGGCATAACATGGTCTATTATGGAGATGTCCCATGCACACTTGAGAAGAATGTGTTTTCTTCTGTTGTCAAGTACAGTATTACATACATTTCTATTAGATCTAATTGATTTATTGTGTTGTCAAGTCTTCTGTTTCCTTATTGATTTTTTTTGTCTGGTTGTTCAATACATTATTGAGAGTAGAGTATTAAAGTCTCCAACTATTACTGTAGAACTGTCTATTTACTCTTTTAATTTAACTGTCAGTTTTTGCTTCATATAATTTCTTGGTCTGTTATTAGGTGCATAAATGTTTATAATTGTTATATCTTCTTGCTGCGTAGAACCTTTTATTGCTATATGAAATATCTTTTGGCTCTTGTAACTTTTCTTTTTTAAATAAATTCTATCTTGTCTGCTATTAGTATAGCCAACCTCACTTTCTTTAGTTATTTGCATGGAATATGTTTTTCCATCCTTTCACTCTCAACCTACTTGTGTCTTTGGATCTAAAGTTAGTCTCTGTAGTCAGCATATAGTTGGGTCATTTTTATTTTTTTAATTAATTTATTTATTTTTGGCTGTGTTGGGTCTTTGTTGCTCTGCACAGGGTTCCTCTAGTTGCGGTGAGTGGGGGCTACTCTTCGTTGTGTTGCACGGGCTTCTCATTGCAGTGGCTTCTCTTGTCACCAAGCATGGGCTCTAGGCGCGTGCACTTCAGTAGTTGTGGGTCACAGGCTCAGTAGTTTTGGCTCATGGGCTCTAGAGCTAAGGCTCTGTAGTTGTGGTGTACGGGCTTAGTTGCTCCGCCTCATGTGGGATCTTCCCGGACCAGGGCTTGAACCCGTGTCCCCTGCATTGGCAGGCAGATTCTTAACCACTGCACCACCAGTAAAGCCCTAGTTGGGTCATTTTTTAAAAATCCATTCTGTCAATCTCTGTCTTTGATTGGAGAGTTTAATCCATTTACATTTAAAGTAATTACTGATAAGAAAGGATTTACTTCTGTCATTTGCTATTTGTTTTCTATATGCCTTATAGCTTTTTTTTTGTCCCCTATTTCCTGTATTACTGTCTTCTTCTGTTTTTGATTTTTTAACGTGAATATTTTAATTCCCTTCCCATTTACTTTTGTGTATATTCTATAGCTATCTTCTTTGTAGTTATCATGTGGTTACCGTCCTAAAATTATAACACTATAATTTGAATTTATACCAGCCTAACTTCAATAACATACAAAAACTCTGCTCCTATACAGTTCCATCTCCAACCCTTTCAGTTATTGATGTCACAAAATTACATCTTTATATACTGTATATCCAAAAACAAAGAATAATTGTTTTTTAATGCATTAGTTTCTCAAATAATGTAGAAATGAAAAAATGGAGTTATAAAGTTACAATAATAGTAGTTTTAAAAAATGCCCAACGTATGTACCTTTACCAGAGATCTTTATCCCTTCATACAGCTTTGAGTTAGTCTAATGTCCTTTTATTTCAACGTGAAGGACTCCTTTCAGCATTTCTTGCTGGGCAGGTCTGGTGGTAACAAACTCCCTTAGATTTTGTTTATCTGGGAATTTCTTAATTCTTCCCTCCCATTTGAAAGACAATTTTGCCAGATATAGGATTCTTGTTTAACAGATTTTTTTCCTTCAGCACTTTGAACATAACATACCCATTGCCTTCTGGCTTCCAAGGCTTCTGGTGAAAAATCTGTGGGTATTTTATCGAGTATCTTTTGAATGTGCCAA